GTAAGTTTATTTTGAAAGATAAGGAAACTTAATTTAATATAATTCACAAAATAACAATTTCATTTCGTATATTCACTTATAGACTTATATATTGGATATACTATGTTAATTTGAAAACCTTTTTCAATTGATTTTTATTAAGCACAATTAAAACAGATATGTTCGCAGTCTTCAGCTCCAAGAGTGTTAAACATTATAGTAGCAGTGCATATAATGCATGATATTAATGTTAGGTTTACTATTGTAATGTGTCGAAATTTACAATCAACTTTTTCACACATTCCAGTTTCATAATCGTTGCATATGCTATAATGTTATAACAATCGGCCTATTTCTCTCTTCATATGGTCGGTTACTCTTCTTGTTGTCTCGTAACGATATTGTTCCACACTTGTACAATATAAATAAAAGCATTTGTCTGTGCGACATGTAGTATTTAGATATTTAAGACAAACGTTATAAGGATGCAATAAACCGCAATTTTAATCAAAACGACGATTATTGTTTAATTTTGTGTAATCCTGAACATTTGGTCCTCTAAAATACTTAAGATTTGTCACGGTGAATGTAATTTTAATCAAATTGAGCAAGTGTAATTGTAAGATATTTAATAGNAGTTGTAATTGTACAATAATGAGAAATCTGACCTTGAACGATAAAAAGACATCTCTTCTTAAGAAATGGTAATAGAGAACACAAAAAACGTGAACCACAAAACTAAGAATGGTTACGAGTAGAGTAATATAATAATATCGACGAGAGCAATATAATATTAACGACAAGAGCAATAATAGTAATGACAAAGGCAAAAATGGTAACAACGATAGTTATTCAAAATTATAAAGTACACTTGTTACGTACGTGAAGTCTCATTGATTGTTTCCTTTTTGGCTTTATATTCTTTTTCCTGTGTTTAATTCTATTTATCTGTAAACAATACATATTTTATCTTTGTTAAAAAATAAAATATATAATTTATAAATGTTTAATAATGTTGTATAAGTGTTTGTAACAATATCGGAGTGAACGATATATTAAAATAATGTTGAAAATGTTAAAGTTAGCTGATATACAGTATTAAATTATTAATTATTTAAATTTTCTAGTACAGTATGTTATTTTAACTATCAAAAGCAATTACAAAAAAACATATTTGTCGTTGACTATTTACATACATAGTAAGAACTCCGTTACCCATTGATGACATACGTTACAATCCCAAAGAGGAAGCGGTCCATCTACTTGTATTGGGAGACGTTCCATGCAATAGGAGCAATAAATATGTCCACATCTTAAAGCGTTCAAGGTGGTTTGCGTTACTGAAATGTAACATTTATTGCATGCTGGCAAATGTGCTGCAATTAAAACCTTTAATTAATTTATCTCGATATTTATACAGTTATGTAGAAACTAAACAAATATTATGTAAAAACGTACACTTTGTGGAATTTGTGTTGCAAGCAATACATGGCCATAGACATTGACCTACTACTTTTAAAGTACATGTATGAATTTGTAAGTCNTTAGGAAAAGATTGTCTTAATACATATGCTAATCGTTTCATTTCTTGANAAACGTTTTCTCGAAACGGACGAATATTGCAATTAATTTCAATGACTTCATCGTCTGTGAGATGTACTCTTTTGCATAAATTGCTCTTATTACATCTAGCTCTAGTACATTTTTCGATTTTATGTAATAGATTACATGGATTTCTTGTGCATATGCGAAGAAGAAAATCACGACAAACCATAATTATATAAAAATATTTATAGTAACGAGTAATGTAATGTAATATTAACGACAAAAGCAATGTAATATTAACAACAAGAGCAATAATAATAATAACAAAAGCAAAAATAGTAACAATGGTA